TGTGATTAACTTAAACTCATTAAATAGGGAAAGAAAAGAACAATCCCTAAAGAAAGTCCAACACGGCAAAATTGTAAATGTTGCAGGCTTGGTTTGATTGAGCCAGTTCATGAACGGTAGTGGTAATTGCTAGCTACCTTCCACGCCTCCTAGTACCGGCTTCAGCAAAATTCAACATATAACATGAAGTGGTATGATTGTGAATTTTGAAACATCTGCAGACGGGTTCATATGACGGTCATCATCTGACACGTTAGTGCCATTCCATGAAAAGCGGCATATGGTCCTCATGTAAAAAAAAGCGTGTGTCCTCATAAAATAACATTAAATAAAATAACATTCCTTTTTTCATCAAGATTTGTATACAAATTATGAACTAGAAACAACTTGTTTTTGAATGACAAGCAATATTTGTCTGTTCTGTCATTAATACGATCATGCAGTGTAAATCAAATTCTGCTACAGATAAGATTAGTCAATCTCGTCTTCCTTTTCCAGCTTTAATTCAAAGCCATGAATGAATACGGGAAGATATCCATTTGCTTATTAACCAGCCCAAATCATTGAAGTTACTTGTCTCATTTGTATAATAGAAGAATCAAACGTTCAAACCAAGGTTAAAATACAAGATAATGTACATTATAGAAAAATGCAAATGATATAATGGGATGTACTTATAATTATAACAGATTTTCAATGCAACTAGGTCCTGTTCATAACAATTTCTATTAAAACTGTGGAAACCTAATTTTGTTGTCGATAATGATCGGATATTCTATGTTGAGATATCAGATCTAACTGAATAAATTATTTTAGCATCAAGAGTAGAATGCAAGAAGGTTGAAACTGAAGCGAGCATAGAGGTTTCTAACATTGTACTTTTTGACTACGAGCTATGCGATTCGAATACATGTATATATCTAACAATTTCAGAATTTTAGGCGCAGTGATCGCTTTGAATGGAAAACTGTTTAGAACAATACAGTGAAGAAAAATCAATGCTAATAACGGCAAGATGGTACCCTTTTAGAAACGGTATAAACTCGATCGACTGATATTTCATTTTTTGACATCTTATATTAATCATATAATACTGACAGAAATGAGTTTAGTCTTAATTTTGCTTCAAATCTGGCATTCATTTTCAACTTTTAACTTCGTAGCAGTTTAAAAAAAATAAACAGAAATATACTGAGAATGGTAATAGCTTATCTACATATAGCAAAAGGTTGTAGATCACAAATCATGTTGTTATGTTACTAAAAACTTCTAAGAAGAAAGTTTGACGTTTATGAAACTATATTAAAACAAACGTAAAAAATAGAGAGAAATAAGAATCCCTAAAGAAAGCCCAACACGGCAAAATTGACAATGATGCAGGCTCGGAAAGTCTTACATCGGAACCAGATAAATTTTGTATTTGACTTAACAAATTTACAATGATCATAAAAATGTTCGTACATGATGTTATAAATCGTGCATAAAGCATTAAAATAAGAGTACAAGTTTAACAGCGTATCATGCTGTTTTATGTAAAAACTTATGCTAACAGATTCTACGATAAAAAATAATTAATTTTCAGGCTGTGTGTAGGGAGTCGAATTCGGTTAAATCATGAGGAAAATACATTAAAGATCTATTTCAACAGTATCAATAAATGTAAAGTTGTGTCATTTTTCTGTAATTTAAATAGAATACAATGGATTATTCTGCGCTTTTTTCAAACATATCATTGTATGTTTAAACAATATTTAGGGCACATGTAATAATAACTAAATAAGAAATTACTCCAAACAATCTCACAAAGCAGAAAATTGTATTTATTAAAAAGCAAATAAATCCCCTATACATTGATATATGGCATAATATAATCGCACTTAAAAATATAACTATAAAAGAAAATCAGTGCCATTCATTTCTAAGATACATCAAATCGACTCTTCTTAAACAGACCTGTCGAGTTGTATAACAAAATGAAAATATGGATCAATAGAGCATTATTCTTTACGTCTATACATATCTCATCGATTTGGAATTCTACCTTTCAATCAAAGCAGATATGAAAATGATTGCTTTTTAATAGCACTTACTTTCTAATAAAAAACACTCGAACTAAGTATAAGCTTGCATAATTCTGAGAAGTGAAAAAAGAAGATAAAAATGAGAGGCTGATCAAGATTGATTATACAATGAAATGCGATGAAATATTGAAACTTGTTCTGTTTTTACAAGTAAAGAGATGTTATTCAAAAGACTGTAAAAATGATAGACATTTCTGTTTCATCAAACTTAAAATTAATATGGGATCACTCAAGTTAGACAGAGGTGTGCTTTCGAAACAAAAGTTAATCAACTTTGACATCACTGCTGCGGCAGCTTTTGTCCTCAGCCTTTATCGTTAGACATTGCACGTAATATGTTAGGATGGGGATCAATAAAAGGAACTTTTTTTAAATTTGATTTCAAGATGTGGCGTTTTCTATGCATACAATTATAATAGTTTTTGCATGGTTATTCATACATACGGAATACACACTTAAACCAATTTGAGTTAGTTTCTACCTTTATGTTTTATAATATATTTGCTTTTCTCTTTATATTTTGATAATTAAAAAACACATTTTTGAAACAGGAAATTTAATTGTCATTGGATTACCATAATCTTTGAATTTAAATTGGTTTAAAGATTTCCTTCTTTCCCTTGTTCAAATAAATTATTTGACGTTAACATATTTTTTCTCCAATCTAATAATATGCTCAACTCGTTGATACCCCTACAATTTGTAAATGAATAGCACTTAATTTTGTGGCCAGGAGTTAGATAAATAAAATATATTGGTGCATTCTTGCTCATCTTTTGAAACACGTTTGAAAACTATTTGAACGAGATAATGTAACTGCTTTTGTTCTTCCAAATTTTCTTTCTTTATATAAAAAAAGAAAATTTGCAAGAAACAAAATCGATTATGTAATTGTATTATCCTTGAAAGATGTCAACGAATATAATAAGCTGTATCATTATTAAAACATTCAATTATGATTACAACTAGGCTTATATAAATAACAAATTCTGACACAAGTGTCTATTCTCAGTAGGAAACCTGATTCAAGATTAACTTATCTGAAATTTTAACCTTTTATAGATTAAACTTGCATCTTATTCCAAGAAAATGATATTTTCACGGTTGCAAAAACAGGTATTATCTGTGTAAAAATTTTAGGTTAATTCAAGGTTGCAATCTATACTATGAAAACATAAATTTTCTATTAAACAAAGATACAAATAGCAACGAAACTATTTCAATTAAGATAAAAAAGGAAACTTCTGTTACAAAGGTTTATATTTAGAAAATTCTTTTAGAAGCTCTAAAAATATGATGATTTTTTCTTTTCCATATTTCATAACTAATTCAATGAATAACACATAGCGCTGAATAAATTTGCATAATTACAATAGAATGCATAGAAATGTCAAAACATATTATCGTAGAAATAATTTCGTATGAAGTCAGCATATTTCTCGAAAATACATTCCCAATGTTACAAAGTGCAATTAATAAAAATGACGTAATTTGATTTGCCAGCCGAAAGAAAGAGACGGCTAATACTTTTTTGCTGCATCACGTGTGAATTTATTCCATTATTGAATATTAGATTGCCATTTCTGTCTATTGCTTGTCTATATTTGCTTAATTTGATATATAAGTGTTCCTTGGCTAACAAGTAAGCAGGGGTGTATTAAAAATAGAAAATAAAACGAGACGGACCAAACCATTTCTTTGACAAACCACGATTCTGTGATGGAAAATGAATTTACTTATAATTAATTTCACAACAAAAAGAAAATATGTTTTGTAAGATTATATTAAAAATGAAGGAACGTGTAGATTAAAATAATATGGAACCTTCCAAACTTTAAAGGCAGAACTTACTGGGATTCTGTTTAATAGTACTTGATATAAATCACCTATAACACAAGGGATTGAGTGAAATAAAAATATTGCATGAATAAAGTCAACCTCGTACATTCTTGGGCTATATTTCCGGGTTTTATGTCGTTCTTCAGGTTAGTGCGTATGAATTATGGAAACTGACATGTACATTTAAGGACAGGAAATTGGGGCAATCGGATCTAAAGGAATAGTCCATCTCGGATAATACAAGTTGCCAGCGCCTATAAACGTCAATCTATTTTTGTTAACAATATCTAATGGAGGGAAAAGGCAAGATTGGCTTGCTATATTTCTATTTCTCCATGCAAAGTGAAAGAAAAAGCTGTTGCTTTAAACATCTATCTTGAACATATAACTTACTAGTATATAAAATATCTTAAAATATCGCGATTCTAATATAAAGAAGCATATTCAGCTAAGATTGTATTCCCAAGCAAAAGATTCCCAATTCGGACAGTGAAGTTTAAAAATTTTGCAGACAAGAGTGGTGATAGCTTTTATTTCTTACCCGAGTAGGACAAGATTTCGACCTGATGGACATATTTGTATCCATGCCATTCCTTTTGAATTTCAATTGAATATACCGGTAAGAAAGTGAACGTCAGTGAAATACTCCACCAGTGAGCAGGAGAGTACATCAAAATCAGTCAAGTGGTATAGAAATTAATGTCATTCAAATTTCATTATTTGTTTAAAAAGTCAGCAAACTTGTTTAGCAGTTTTGATGGATTTTTCGTCGTACCAACATTCGAAAGTTAATAAAGAGAGTTTCCAGCTTTTGTGTTGTAGGAAAATCTCAAGTGTTTATCCTTTAATTATTTCAGGCAAAAACTGGCATCAGAGTAGAACCACAGACGTTTCATAAGCTAGCTGGCTATCTTCCTCACATGAAGAATTCAAAGTCATTGGCGGAATATGAACCCATACCGGTAAATAGCAAGTGGTTTGAAGTCGACGAACAAAACCACTCCTTAACAAAGTCCTTTCTTCACAGAAACATTAAAAATTCTAAAAATAGGCAATATAAAATGCAAAACAAGAATGAAACACAGCTCACAATTTATTCAAAATTTTCAATGATATTTCATTAAAACTTTTAACAAAACATTTCATTTTTTGTTTTATTTCCAATTAAATATTTGCTTTGTGTATTATGTGTACTAAAGTTATTTTACCATTTAAAAATTATCAAAGATTACTATCAACATCTTTATTTCAATGCAAAATATTTAACAAACTGCCAGATGCTTAAACTCAAAATATTCAAATACTTTATCATATCACCATCAATAGTTAGTTATATTATGATCAATAGTTTATTACATCAAATATGCATGCACAATCACTCAAAAATTGAGAAAGATTCAACAAATGGTATAACTATTTACAAGACAAAAATGATTAAATGTGAGTACACATCGCTATCAATTCACAGACAATATAAGACACAATTGTATACACAGAACAATTCCTAAAAAGCCCTGTACCCTCAAGAAACAAATATAATAATCATACTGGAGAAAAAAGTCCACTGACAAATCATACTGGAGAAAAAAATCCACTGACAATCACAAAATTAAAGTTCTTCACAAGAAAACATATGCTTGTCACATAATCTTGGTGCCCATAGAAAATGGTGCCCATACCTATAAATCACAGATATCTAGTTTCCATTTTATTTTTCATTACATTTATGTTGAAATCAATAAAGAATTATTTTAAAATGTATTTAAAAATATTATTTATTGTACAGAATAAAGGACCCGATTTAATCTAAATACCTTCAAAAAAGGCTTATATATAACTTCACAATTGAAGTTTGGGAAACATTTGCTAATTGTTCACAATCCACTGGAATTTCACATATTTTGTCTAATAATAAATTACCATAACTTAAACAAACTTTGGTGGGGATCGAACTTTACCTTTCTAACCAGATTCTAAACCATCAGTTACTTAATGTGAAGATTTTTATGTTAAGCTTCTTTCAGGATTTTGTTAATAAAATTATTTTCCAATAGCACAGAATGAAGTGTAAATGTAAATGAGTATGTTTATACTATACTAGGATTCTAAGGATAGCATTATTAACAAGTTCTGTAAGACAGCCAGAGTACAGTGTCTCCTTCATTTAATTATTGTTTCATGAGAATACAGGGCATTGGTTTAATCTAGATCTTCAGGTCTAACAGGGTGACTTAGTGGTATAATTGACTTCTGTTCTACATCCCTTGATAGTGCCTTCCGCATATCTGGAAAAAAAGTTATGTTTGAAGGTCATTCTTAGATCTAAATCTAGACAATAAACCACAATGAATATAAACTAAGTACTCATTCACAAGGCTCGAGATAAATTGCCCCATTACCTTCTAATTCAATTGGCAACATAGAGCTATTTACAATTACTTAAAGCCTTAAAATGTGAAAGAATTCAATCTCAGAAACAATCCTTTCTTTAATTACTTTCTAATCAAACAAAAGTGCTAAGCAGTGCAGACATGTGTATGCAGTGGAAAGCTTACATTTCTATTAAACCTTTCAGTAGCTTAAAACCTAAAATTAACTTTTCTATCTTTCAATCTGTACAAAACTTTCTCTCATTTTAGGGACAATTTTCAAATACATTATATATTGACTGAATAGCGAACACTGCAGATCGTGACCAGATATCACTGACATGGCCGCTGATGCTGGTCGGCACTGGCCACAAGAGTACAATCAGATAAGAAGTAACATAAATGTATCATTATATATTGTTCATAATTGATAATTTTTACACATTCATTAATTAGTGTTTCATTTTTGAAATTTATAATTCATAATTTTGACAGCATATTTTGTTTTTGACACAGTACCTATATTATCTTCAACATTTGTGTGCAATTGAATAACATCAGTGATGTTATCATATCATTTTTTCCCATTCTTTACATATAAATACTGAAATTCTTTATCAGAAAACCCTGATAATCAAAAATAATACAAGTAAATTTAATACAATGTAGAAGTTATATTACAGAACACAATATTGCATAGGAAACTTATATGATAACTATTTGAGATATTATGCATAAATTATAACTTATTTATTAAAAAAGATAAAGCTTAGGCACCAGCAGACAACTGAGTATAACCAGTTACTTTCCTTTAGCTAGCTAAATACATGTATCTTTCTAAAATGAAATTTTGAGAAGTTTTTTGAATAAATAAAACCATTAACATGATTAAAACCATCATTAGTGAGGGGAATAGTAATCTGAAGTTAGCCATGAAAGCCCTTACAACATTATTTAGCCCATGTGGCAATCTAACAGTATTACACTTTAACCTCCAGTGTTAATTATTAAATGATCCTCTTTTAAAATTTCTATCTCAGATCAAATGCATTTGAATTATGCAAAATGTTCTTTTTTTAACACAATGTTAAACAAAATAACAGCTTTTAAGGGAGCATTTATATGGTGGGGAAGTGCATTAATCAGCCTTGTACATAACTTTCCATGCATGGAACAGACCCTATTATTTCTTCAAATTCAATTAGTGAATGACACCTGGCTAATACACATGCCTCTTCAATACAATTGCGTGTTGCCTAAAAACACCTGTAGTATACATCTGTATGTAATTGTTGAATAATTTGCAACCACTTATCACACCTGGTGGTGCCCATTTGCAGTGCAACATAATTTAAATTTCACTTACAAAAATGTGGCAGAAAGATATTTAGTCTAGCAGATGAATTGTTCTAAACAACTTTTTCTAAGCTGGGTCTAAAGTGTGCCAGCTGAATTTAACTTTTTTATTCATAGCATGTCTGTTTAATTTTTAGTGCTTTATACAAAAACAGGAAGTTTCAGTGAACTTAGACTGTATATAGAGCCAGAAATATGTAACAAAGTATTTTTAGCAGCTGGAATCAATCTTTATTATGCAGTTTATAAAAAAACGACCACTTAATGCATACATAAAGATTAAAACATGAAAGAAAATCATTAACCCTAGATACAAGTAATAGCCTTCTGTTGTATTTCTTTCTTCTTACTGATGTTTATTATGATCATTTAAAAGTAATCATAAGTATTCTATGTTAATATATGTTCCTGATTTAACTGACAAATGTGAGTCACTTTCCCGTAAAATATAAATATAAGTTCTAATTACAATCAAATAAAAAAAATAGCTTTATATACCATCTTGATAATGTTTATTGCAAAAAAACAAGACATCCCTTAATGTATTTAATACTCTTCAAAACTATAATTTACTAGAATACAAAGCATGAAAGAAAATAAACTTTTTTTTTTTCAAACTAATGTAAGAAGACCACCAAAGGTATGTTCAATACATAATGTAGGCCAATTAAAAATCCTGTATGTTGTGATAAAAGTGGTAAACCACACTAAGTGAAATTATGTATAATGTATATAATTATGTAAATAAAACAATTTTCAAACATTGAAGAATATGTAAAATATGAACTGCAAATATTTGTGCATATTATATGTAATCATTAAAATATATGCATTCATTTCTTATTGTTAAATTTGACTTAAACTTTATAGAAAATTAATATTTTATTACCTCCTTTAATTTACATGAAATGTTAAATTCGAAATATCTTTATAAATAATGCTTTTTGGAACCTACAATATTGATAAATCTTAATTTGAGCATCATATTTGTGATTTAAAACCATAAAAAAATGTGTTACAGGATCTTTAATAAAGGCTGTATGAGCAAAAGTGTTGCTTAAAGTCTAGTATTTTAAGCACCAGTGACCTTGACCTAAGTGACCCTCAAAACCTACCCAAAGTTGGACCACCAAAGGTATGCACAAATCAAATATGAAAAAACATCAGTCAATTATAATCATAAGTCAAAAAATATATTTTCAGCACCCTTGACATTGACCCCAGTGACCTTTAACTCTAACAACAGTTATAGAACCATCAAAGTTTCCTACCAAATACAGAGAATATCTGTCTATAAATAAAGCTGCTAAGAGAAATGTATGGAAGTGCAGGTAAAAATGCCACAGAAGTATGGGGAAACTTGTGAGTTAAAATTTGAAGAGCATAAAATTGGAACCCTTAGGAAGGGTATAAACCTTTTTATGTCTATAATTTTTGTAATATATAAAGGTGACTAGGATTCAGTAACAATTTATGACTGGCTCAGACTAATAACTTATGACCAATTAAAAGATCAGTTTTGGTTCAGTTGTGATAAAACACTAAGATGAGAAAATAATTTTGTGATTGGAGTATAATGAAGCATTATGGTCATTTAAGGAAAAGTATGGTTAGCTATTGACTATAGGAAAAAGATATATAATTTACTTGTCACCCAATCTTGGCAATTCCCATAGAAAATCATCCCAAAGATACGCATTTCAAGTGTTTTTATATGTTCAATTTCATACAATTTCTGCAATTATTCTTTGTTTGGTGGGTATTAAGCCACATTAATATATCACTGTTACTCATTTAATTAATAACATTTTTTTTTTTTTGTCTGATTTCTTTGCCTCTCATGGCATGCAAATGAAGGAAATATATGCAACAAGACGCAGGTTTGTTGTAGGCAGCTGAATTGGCCTAGCAATTCAATAGCGATACAATATTTACTGGTCTCTGCTTTCAAGTTATGTTGCTTGAACATTTACAACATACAATGTACATTGTAAATCAATTTATTGAATCAGTAATTAATGAAACTTTTTGATCTAATATAATATAATAGGGCCCAAATGTTTCAATATTGGAATCACTTAAAATACATACATTTAAATGATTCAAACTAGTTTAGCATAATTATACTAAAGATCAATGATACACAAAGAAATCAAAATAAAGTGTCAAATATCAAAATGTATAGCTCTAACTAAATATATAAATTCAAGATATGTTTTTAACTTTTTTTCACAAAACAATAACAATGAATTCAAACACATACAAGTAAACAATCCTAGATAAGCTTAACAGATTATAAAACAACTCATGCATACAAAGAATTCTAAACTATCTAACTAACAAACTAGAAAACATGAAGGCATACAAAATTCTAGCTGAACCTAGCCATCAGAGCTTTTCAGACATGGAGACTTCTAGATAAACTTTATACACATAGATATTCAGAATTCTATATACATTACGTAGACCATAATGATATTCTAGAATGTAGACATACAGGATTCTAGATAAACTTAATACATACACAGAATTCTACATAAACTTTACATTCTAGAACACATACAAACAGAATGCTTAATAAACTAAATAGATTTACTGAATTCAAAATAAGCTTTCACATCTATACTATAAAACATTTTAAATGAGTTAAAGCTGCATGCCTCCAGATGAGCCAAAATATTTCAAGAAAATGAAAATCAAGAAAAGTGTAATATTTTCAGAAAAGTAAAACGATTCAAGATTTAAGTAATAATTTACATGTTATGTGCAATTAAGGACTGATTTGGCAGTATTTACATGTATCACAATATTTCTACTGCCTTACCAACAGTAAGGACTTTCTTTGCATATTTTGACCTCTTTTTGGTAATTTGCATGGACTGTAAGTGCCAATTGCAACGTGTAAATTACTTTCTATGTTTCCTTTGCCATATTTTACTTTTTAATACATTTTCAAAATTTTCATGAAAATTAGTATGAATCAGTTTGGCATGCTGCTTTAAACAGAAACTAAAGACATGAGGCATGCAAAATAATGAAATGTTATCATACCGAAAGCATCTTCATCCACTTCTCCAGAGTAATATTCTATAACCCTTCTGTATACACTATATCCTAGCTTATTGTACATATCCACTGCTACTTTGTTTGATACACGAACAAACAGATCAACAAAGAAACAACGTTTCCTGAAGTTAAAAAAATAATGTACATACACTGGCTGTTTCATAAATGTTGGTCATTTATAAATAATTGTAAAAGAAATACAATATATATATATATATATATATATATATATATATATATATATATATATATATATATATATATATATATATATATATATATATATATATATATATATATATATATATACTCAACAGAAGTCAAAGTGAACATTCACTGGGTATTTTGAAGCACTGTTTTTAACTTGTAACTTTTAAAGATACAAAATGCAACCAGACCTTTACCAAATAGAAGTTACTAGAAAGGAACACTTTGTTTATTTTTATTTTTTATTCAATTTTCTCTGCCAAACTTTTATCCCTTTGCTGTTTCTGTCATATTAAATATTTTGTTTCTACTATCTAAATGTATCTTATTGCTTACAATTAAGTATTTCATACATTGAGCTCTGAAACATTTAACACAAGTGACCAACTGTAAATCCCACTTAATTTCTTCAATTTGATGTGACAGACTAATGACCATTAGACAAATGTCCGAGATCAATTGTTAACAGACCCCAAGGATCAAATCAGTAACCCCTGGATTACAATCGCATGCTCTCCCTACTGAGCTAATTGGGCAGACTGTGATAAAATATATAAGTTGATACCAAATTTCATTGTTTGATATTTACACATACAATGTCACAAACATTAATAAATATTGTGATGTAAGCTTTCATATCAAAGGGAAATAACAAGTACTACTTTTTTACAATTTTTAATGCAGAGTTAAATTAAAACTAGAAATGATACAGATGCCCCTAAATTTTAATGGGAGACAGTGACTGCAAATATAGCTCAGAGTTTAATTAGCATCGCTCTGTAATCCTCAGATATTCGGGGAAATATTTCAATATAGCTGAGGAGTATGTCACAGTTCAGAACTGTTCACTACATTGTATTTAGCAGCCGGATAGCTCAGTTGGAAGAACTGTGAAAAGTTTTCCAAAGTCCTGGTCAGGCTGCAGATTTTTCTCTCCCTGTGACATATTCAATTTGTATAATTAATTATTTGCAATCATGTATATAAAATATTTATAAAATACTGTTTTAACCACTATGTATACTATCAATTATTTGAAATCTATCAAGTATATGAAAAATTTATCAATAAAATAATGTTAAAACAATTGTGACACTAACTTTTCAGAGATTTCTTCCAAATTGCTCATCAGTTTTGCAGCAAGGCCTAGACGTCTATATTCTGGAGCTACAGTTAAAGCAGTCACGTGACCATGCCACTGGTCGCCATTACCTTCTGCTTTACCCATTACTGAAAATATATTTCATAATTGAATTCTATTACTGCAAAAAAAAAGAAATTGTAAAAGCAGAAAAGTTTTCTTGTTGAAGATGATCTAGTTTAACACATCTAAACATTCTGTAGGGTTCTAGTTAGGACACACTCAGTGAATACCATAATAGTAATTGACAGACAATTAATGATACAATGTTATATATATCTCAGAAAAATCTCTAGCCATCAATTAAATACAGTTGCTACGGAAATAAATTCTATAACATTCAATTTATTCTATTTATTACGAGGGACAACTTCACAATTATTCAGTTAGCCTTGAAAGTCCTTTATGCACGAAATATTTTTATTTTCTACTTCATCTTTTCAACAATTTCATTATACCTTCATTTTGCTGTTATGATTGAAGTTATGAATTGATATGCTACTGTAAGAAAAAAGTTACAATGAAATGACAATAATTATAATGTAAATAAGTATACATATATACTCACTATATCCCATAATTTCCCCGGAAGGTGACTCTGCAACTTGGAAGTACTCTGGCCAATGAGCCATATACTGCATATAAAATGGTAAGCCATACTAGTAATTTGTCAAGGAAATTTTACAAACAGTACTTTCTACAGGGAATATGCAAATCGGGTTGTTTATATTTTATATCAAAATTTACTAGTTATTTGGGACCAATTGTCTCTGACAAAAAAACAGAAAATGTTTTATTGTCATTAAGGAATCATCAAAATACACTAATCTGGAATGACCTGAAAAGCACATGCAGTACATTTTTATACATGTATGTAAAATACCAGAATATCCACCTAACTATAATGTTAATTCTGGAAGGTTATTGTAAAAACTTGTACTAACAGATATATTAAATAGTTTAATTTGCTATACAGTGGATAAAACTGATTCAATTTGATCTTTCCCTATCAAATAAGATTCTTGAAGTTGCATGTTACGCTCTAATAAATTGTAAAATAATTTTGACCCCTAAAGTTAATAAATTGTTGTTTTTTGTAGCTTATTTGTTTGAACTGTTAGTTAAACTAGCATCATTTTATTGAATTTCCAACATTACATTAGTTGACAACTGGACAAATCAAATAACATGATAAAATTCAACATTTCAGGGGTACCCACAACTACAAAGTTTTATGATTTAACAGATAACTGTACATAACCATTTGGCCGTAAAAAGATCAAATTGGACAAAAATTCAAAATGCTTGTAAAATTTGAATGTACATGTATGTTTATATCAAAACTTTCAAAAGCCAACCATAATGACTATAATCCCAAAAGAAAAACAATGATGACCAGTGGAGTTACCATGTTCAGACCGTTTATTCAAGATTATTTAAAGGATACTGTTTCAGTCAAAGGATCTAAATTCCTGAAAAAAAGAAAACAAAAAAATGCAATAATTAATTTAATATCAAAATATAAATATATGCAATAATGTTTGACAACATGAATATATATGTACTGTACATTGTAATTCTAGGGACACCTCTATTTACCCAAAATTACCATATTATTACCCAAATATGCTAAAAGAATATATTCTAGCAATACTCAATATGACACAGGTGTTAATGGAAATGCAAGCACGGGAAAGATAGTAATATTCCTGTTAGTCTGTCACCCAAACTGACATGCATATATATTGATTGATATATGATGGTTCTCTATAATCTTTAACAAGGCTGCTTCATAAGGCAAATACATGACAGCAGGTGTCTGCCTTATTATACCACAAAGTCCTTAAAATGTAAATAATAATATATACATGATTTTTGCATATCATTCATGATAATCTCACAAAAATCTTATTTTTGTAAGCCATTCTTAGTAAAAAAATCACATGAAAATATGTTCCTTTTTGTGTCTGAAGATTCCTATATAAAGGCAAAAGTTGCAATTTGCGTTTGTCATTAAAAAAACATATTTACAAATCTAGTACAGTGCGTTCTGACGATCTCTCAGAATAGACTTGCTGATAAATCCTGGAAATCTACTATTATTCAAGTAAGTCACTTTATTCTTCTCCCATTTTAATTGCTGTTTCCGATCAGATGCTTTAAGCTACGAGTATTACTCTTAATTTCAAGGGAAGATGGAAAGTTCTGCAAAGAGGCTTAAATTGATTCTAGTCTTACAAAACTTAAATTATCTTTCTTGACCAAATTATGTGCAAACAAAAATAGGCAGGCAAACTGGCAAATCCAGACTATCAGGAAAGAGAATTTATGGTAAAATTTAATTCTAAATTCATTGTATGAAATCTTTGTCAGTGCTTTTTGCTTGACTGCTATTTTTTTTTTTTAAATAGGCACATGAATCTATGCAGCTATATATCATCTTATTTTGAACAAGATTTCGTGACTAATGCATATAAGTTTTGATGTTGTTTTTTTTATTTTGATGTTTTTTTAAGTGCAAAACATGTCGAAAAGTCAAAGTGGTAAAAATATGTACTTATCATTGTGCAACTCACAGTTGAATGAACAAAAACTTGAGCGTTTAAACATTGTAAAGTCAATAAGGCAAAGGAAGCATATCTAATTTAACTAAAGAGACTTCAGCGAACAGGTTTTATACCTGTTCGCTGAAGCCAATCCCATATCAAAGTCAACCAGAACCGTGACATATTTATGTCATGCTGTAATTCAATAAATTAGCTATTTTAATGCAGGCAGTTAGATATATTTGGGACACTTCAGTCTATATTTTTAAACACAGAACGATAGACTGATGAAATAATGCCTCAAAGTTTATCAGTGGGTTCACATTTCATTAAATTCGCCGCCATTGCTGCTCTAATTATCACGTGACTAGTGAGATTTTAGGTTCGGATACCTTTGCATGGCATTTGGAGACCCGTGACCCAAATGCTATTTTTAAATGGAAACATGGCTTTGCAATTATGAATAAAGGTGTACTTCTTCAATAACAGACATTGTACCAAAGTCATATTGGATTTATATTGTTTTGAGTGATGATTCATGAATTCTTTGTTTGTTTTTATCTAAAATCGTACACTTACTAAAAATAGTGTATGGTCCGTTACTAAAAATAGATGTTAGAATTCCCAAAAGTTGAAGTCACGGAGGATTTCATTTGAAAGCAGAATCCATATTGGTAAACATTCTCCCCTAACAAAAAGTTGGGTACACAATGTCATTGAAGTTTCATTTAAAAACACTAGAAATGTGTCCATAGGACACGGGTGCCCCAACCTCGCCACTGTTCTGTCAATCTTATGACTCTAGGTCAAATATTTTTGAAAACTAAAAATCTTTTACTAAGTAAAGGGGCGAGAACTTAACAAATACTGAATAAGTCCACAAGCAAACCCCAAGGTGCATAAGTACACATGCTGACCAACATTCTTGTAAACTTTCAGGCCTACAAGTGAAATACTTTTTGAGCTATGCATGAACAAGTTGAAAATTGCAAATTTATACTACTGTAAGTCAAGGGCAATAACTCTAACAAAACTGAAAAAAATCCACATGCAAAGTCCCAGGTGCATAGCTTCACAGTGATGTGAATCATTATTCCTGTAAAGTTGGTTGCATTCTAACTCAAGCACTCAAGGAACAAATAAACAACATAATGAAAAACAGTTTTTTACTATGTCAAGGAAAAAACTCTACAAATACTGGATAAATCCACAAAGCGAAACCCAAGTGCAAAACTTTCATATGCTGAGCAACTTTCCCGTAAGGTTTAATGACTCTATGTCAAATCCTTTTTTGAGAAGTTTACATGCGACACAAGTTGAAAAATTGCAAAAAAATTTCTAAGTCAAGGGCAATAACTCTAAAAATACTAAAAATATCCAGACGAAAATACCCAGGTGCACAACAACACATGCTGATCAACATTCCTGTAAATTTTCATGACTCTATGTCAAATCCTTTTTGAGTTACATGCGACACAAGTTGAAAATTGCAAAATTTTACTAAGTCAAGGGCAATAACTCTAAAAATATTAAAAACATCCAGACGAAATTACCCAGGTGCACAACTACACATGCTGATCAACATTCCTGTAAAGTTTCATGACTCTAGGTCAAATACTTTTTGAGTTAAGTGCGACACAAAAGTGAACGGACGGACGGAAGGACGGACGCACATGAAGGGCGGATGGACGGACAAGGGTAATTCTAAATGCCCGCCACTAAAGTGGGGGCACAAAAACATGAATTGATTCAAAATTGTTTTGTGCATCAAATGGTATTTTTATTTGACCCAAATTTGATTAAGAAGGGTGATTTTAATAGGTTTTTATGTACGACACACGAACTGCCCAAATTCTGGTAGCCTTTGCAAATAGGGTTAACCCATAACTTTACTGTCGCACAACGTCAAAATAAAAGCGACATATAATGTTATGGAAGCCAGAACTAATCTAATTAGGACTTTGTGGTATAACAAGGAAATTACCTGATGCCAGGTATTGGCCTTATGAGGCAGACCTGTTTAAGTGCACTAAGATTTTGCGAGAAGTACAAGAAAATGTTGATAGATAGATAGTATTATCATATTTTATCATTTTGTTAAAAATAAATAGAGGATATTCAAGTTCTTTCTATGAAATAAAAGATTTATTTTCATCGAGTTGTCTGAAAAAAATCTTTTATGTCAGGAGTGGCAGCAGGATAATTTATTTTGTCCCAGGCATCCGGTAGTCCTATAAATATGACGTCGCTTTGAGATATTTTTGCTTCTGGGCAAAGCAACGTCATATCGAAATTGCTCAAAAACCCATAGCATGTTCCGCCAGAAAATCGGGCGGAACGAAAAACAATGAAGACAGCGTGTATTTACATAATTTTTGACCTATTTATGAACAAAACTAAAAAATAAATACCTTTTGTCAAAATAATTAAACTGTCACATCCGAAAAATCATGATTAAATCCTCTGTGTATTTCAATTCCTTTTACAGCCGATAAACAAATGGCGGCCGTAAAGTGCGCGAAATCTGATTGGCTAATTCAAATGCAAGCGTTTAACTGAGTCAGAACAATCTAACGGAATATTTTTTTAACGAAATAATTGCCCATGCACCGTCAGTGTGTTCAAATATATTTTTCCGTTCAAAAATTTGGAATCAATCTGTAAAGCACCTTGCTTAACCAGTATGGCTGATAGACAAAAATAGATTGATGTTTATATTTTATTTTAAATTGATAAGTACATCGTTTGAAAGTTTTTGTGTATGATTGAGCATGAAATTGAAAGAAAATATGATAAGCTTTTGAATAAAGCTTGAAAGGCAAGACAATAGACATTTTTGGAATTTTTTATGATGCTATGCGTTTTTGAGCAATAACTATTAGACGTCAGGCTTGACCGACAAAAACTATAACAAGCCTGTAAGCAAACAGGACGTTTCGGCCCCAGACCAAATCGGCCCCAGTCGAAAAATCGGCCCCTGGACGTTTCGGCCCTTTTCCGCGAGATGTTTCGGCCCCACTGTAGTGTATTGCTTGATTGATTAACAACAATAAATTTAATTACAATTAAACAATTATGACACTTTAATTCTTGGAATAATTATTTATTATCTTTTGATCTCTTGAACCATTTAGATATACGTTAATGTTTTTAAAGGTGTAACAAACAATAAAGGCCGGTTACTTACATACAAAACAAACCACTAAAACTTCTGGATTAAGAAAGTTACTTACAATTTTTCCTTAGAAAACACTATCTTTTGATCTTAATTAAACTATACGTAATTTTTTTCAAAGTGTAACTAATTAACTGTTTATACTTTATGCTAATTGGCGGTATTGTTTTGTGTCTTGCTTCTTAAGGTGACAACGGAGTCAATTATCACTGAAAATACCTAAAATGAGATTTTTTGCTAAGTATATTTATCAACCTTTTCTGAACACATTCGTGATTTAATTTTGGAAGCAGTTAGTCCAAAAAATGTGTTTTTAAACGTTTTAAAACGGTACCTATACTATTTGTATCTGCTATTCGCGTAACCTGTCGATTATCGATAACGCTCCGCCCCCTGTTGAGGCATCAATGAGGGAAATCGGTAGTTCCATATATCCGTGAATTACAGGTCCATACTGGTCCATACTTCTCGTAAAACATGTATCGTACAACTAACGTACATCTTTTATGAATATCTCAACATTTAGCCTTTTCTATAAATTAAGAAATTGTCGGCCAATGTACGTAACATAATGTATAAATAATTAAGCATAGCATAAAAATATAGTTGCTAAAATATCAATAATGTGTGAAAATAATTTGTCTGCCGTTAATCTGATAGATATTACGTTGAGTTGATAGACTTTTGTACGGATTCAAGGGCTTACTTTACATTCAACCTCGTTTTCTAACAATGTCAAGTAAAACAACAACAAAAACAGACAACATTTTTTTATGTGAACGCCTATATGACTTGTGGTAAGGTGTCCCTGACAAATTTCTAAACCATTTTAGATTGTCTAAGGATGATTATTTCTCTATGAATAAAAAAAAGATATTAAAATATATTCTCGGTGTAAATAAATTGTTCGCCAGTAAATCGGACACAGTAGTGACAGTACTAATAAATCTGGGACAAAGTATGAAATTTATTGTCTATCCCGGTAGAAACTGGATCTCTATGCCGTGCATAGATGATATTCATAATAGAAGTCAAGAAGGCCAGATCATAATGATCGAGTAATACCTTTTATTTCTATTAAAATATGGAAAGCATTATCAATTTGGTGGAAAAAATATATAATATCCCGTTCTTATTTGTACATCTACCATGGACTTTAAAAGACAGCTTAGTTTTTTGTTATTTTATTTTATATTTTAACGGAATTTCATACGCGAATACACAGGCAGAGTGACACTGGTATAATACAATAATAATGCTGATGATAATAATAATAAACTTCAAAAAGGAAACAATTAAATACCCCGCTAGCGGTGCGCAAATGCGTTCCATTTCCCCCCACTGAGTGCCTCAAATTTTACCGATAGTCACGTGACATGTGCGACAGATACCAGACGGACAGTAAATCACTTTAAGAATTGAAGAAATTTCAGCTATAAACTGATATTAATCAGCAGCTTTTTAATTGGTCAGATGTCACTGGGTCATAAAATGTTGTTAGAGTATGTTACCGCAACTTGTGACCCTCTCTGGTGCAGTATTTGTGTATTATGCAATTATTTAGCGTGAAACGTAGGGGTCCGAGAGAGAACAGCCGATTTATGACACTTCGTTTGATGCGGGTCGGACTAACTTTGAATCGGCATAACTTTTTTAATAATCAAGCAATTAACATGCAGTTTAAAGCACATGAAAGGAAATGCATTTACAGAGGGAACCGTGTCAGGGATTTTTGTTTGCTCAATAGGCGACTTAATTATCTTTAATTACGTAATATGTATGGTGAAAAAAGTCGCATAAAATGTTTGACGTTACGTAATATTTTTTTGAGAAAAGATAGAAAAAATTTGAGACACGGTTCCCTAGATAATATAAGTATGGTTATTTTCCAAAAGTTTGATGACAAAAAAATAAAAAATGACTTTGATATGACGATTTAAAATTTTAGGATTTTTATTCAAAATCAATCATTTACAAAGGCATTTTTTTCAAATATCTTATTTTTTATGATGATCAACGACATTTAATGCACAAAGATTAAATAAATAACAATTATTACTAAAATAATTTTGTTTAAATGACATTTATGTGAGTACCACTAGAGGTGCAACGATACCTTTCGATGCATCGAAAACCGGTTTTATAAGCGCCGATTCGATTCCCGATACCAACTGTAACATTTTCGATTCGATTCCCCACCCAAAAATTAATATGGAAAAAAGTGAGAGTTTTAGTCTTTCCCTTCGCGCTTTATCACGTTACATACGATTGGCCAGTTAGAACTCGGTCATCCAATCAGTGGGTGCGTAATGTTTTATTTTCGGCAAACAAGTCAAAATGGGTACCAACATCAATTTTGATAAAATAAAATTAAAAAATTCTCCTAAAAAATTAAAATCAAAGGTTTGGGAACATTTTTGGGTTTCGGGAAGGCCAGGACACGGATAAAACTTGCAAAATATGCTTTACGGACGTGTCATATCCAAAGTCCGACAGTACGTCTAATTTAATGCAACACATGAAACGAAAACACGATGTGGACTTGTTTGGTCAGCTTTATCCGTGTCCTGGCCTTCCCGAAATAAGTTTGATTAGTACTACAGTAAGTAGGCATATTTGACATTGGGATTGATTATTATTTTTTTAGTCAAGTGTGAAAAAAAGTGAAAATTTCATGAATTTCATTTTTTCTGTATTGTTTACTAGACTAAGAAGTATTGTGTGACAACACTGACATTAGGATTGATTAATTATTCATTTTACATTTTATGGGAATTATAAACAGAATATCTGAATATCAGTTCTGACAACCTTGTGAAACTTTGTTCATTATTATTTACTTTACAATTTACATACTTTGTTAAATTCTTAGTCAGCAGAAGGTATCTGTGATAGTCATGTAACTGAGATGAATGATTATTTGCCTGATTAAAATTATTTCTAAATAGACTAGAGCTTTTTATTCTCATTAACAGAATAATTAAGTCAAATAAGTTTATATAATAGTTATATTACAACAGAAAAGCAAAGCACTAGGTTGAAGGCCACTCACTTTTTGAGCAGACAAGCAGAATTATATACCAAAGATAAATTATTAATCAGAAATGTATCGAATCGAAAAAAATCGAATCGGAGTGTCTAAAATCGAAATCGAATCGAATCGAACATTTGGTGTATCGTTGCAGCCCTAAGTACCACAGAAAGTGTCTGTTGTCACCTTAATCATTCAAATAAAATATTATCTATATATGGTTGATAATTGTTTGTTTGTGTATTATATTTTTTTCAAATATAGTTTATGCTCTGTTCTGTTTGTATTGATTACTTTCCCCCTACTACTATAATAATCTGGTTTTTATACAAAATGATTAAATATATATATTAATTGATTAATTTTTTTAATGAAATGCTATTAATATATCGGTTTAAAATACAGTACTTATTCTGGGGCCGATTTGGTAAAGGGCCGAAACGTCCGGGGTCGAAACGTCTTGGGTAGTTTGGGACCGATACGTCTTGGGGCCGAAACGTCTCGAAATCGCCTGTAACGTCTAATATATTGGACTAAGGCATCCGGTAACTAAGTGGATTTTTCAAAAAGTGGCGAATACGATTTCCAAAAATATTATATAACTGTCGGGCACGTACGAAAAACTAGCACTGTGAAAATGCGTAGGCCAACGTATCATAATCATTGCCGCCCGTAAATAGATGCATATCCGAATACTAGTCAAATACTGAAATAGCTAATCTGGAATATCAACTTCCGTGCGACGGTATTTAATACAATTATACTCACACATTATTAAACTTAAATAAGTCATCGCAAGTAAACTGCCGTATCGTCGTCATAATGTTAATAATTGTCTATTTTATACAAATAAATTAATTGGTTATGCACATTTTTACGAGTTACTCCCCTTTGGATCTGGTAAATGCTATTTCCTGTCTTTCACGTCCCCGGAATATTAACCCCGGGACGAGTTGACCTGAGCGTATTATTATTTCCCCTCTTCCTGGGGCTTTAATTACATTCATAACATTGTCTGTATTTGTTGTATATTGTAAACATATGTTTCATCTTAATAATATCTTATACTGTAATGCGCATGTCCATTATCTTCCCGCCACTTATATACTTGGAATATTCAGTTATCATTAAACGATAGAACTAGTAACACGTGTCTGTGTTATATATTACAAGTGCACGCTCTGTGTACATATTAATAAATATACCCATAATACAACATGGTGTCAGAAGTTAACGGATTATAATTTTTGCAGTTAAACGCTTTATAATTGTATGTTTATAACGGAATTATAAGCAACATGGAAAATAATCACCAACAAAATCCGCGTATGGACTGGGATTCGAAGGACTTAAACAGTGCGTTTAAGAGATTCAAAGAACATTCAGAATTCATGTTTAAAGGGCCGTTGGCAAGTAAAACGGAAGAAATTCAATGTAACTATTTGATGTTATGGGTCGGTGAAAAGGGCCGACAAATATACTCAACATGGGACTTATCAAAACGATCAGAGAAAGAAACTTAAATCATATTATGATAAATTCGAAGAATATTGCAAACTAAAAAGTAACATTATATACAACAGATATCTTTTTAAATCAAAGAGCACAACAGGAAAACGAACCTTTTGAACAATTCGTTACAGAACTGAAAACGCTAATCAAAGATTGTGATTATCCTGTGGGCATGCAGCAAGATCTTATTTCGCGACCATATTGTTTTTGGAGTAAGATCTAGCAAAGTCAGAGGAAAACTGATTGTGGAAGGCTTAGATCTAACACTTGAAAAATGCGATAGATGTTGCTCATACGTACGAATTGAGTCAGTCTCAGGCACAAGCAATCGCTAGCGGATCTACGACATCTCAACAGTCTGTTGATGCGATAAATCGACATTGGAGACGAGGCAACGGAAGAGATGCACACCAGAGAGACCGGAAGATGCCACCTCATCAGCAACAACAACCACGACGACAACAACGATTTGAAGATTATAGAAAAAAATGTGAAAGATGTGGAAATAAACATTTCAATTCTAGTGAATGTCCAGCACAGGGTCAAACATGTTTCAAATGTGGACGATTAAATCATTTTTCAAAAACAATGTAAAATTTAAATTCTGTGCACGAGTTACATTATGAAGGTGACACTGTGGATTACGTTTGTGAATCTGACGGCGAGAATGGCCAAGAATTCTTTGTTCACACGGGTAAATTCTTTTTCATCTTCTCCTGATCAAGTTTTTGTTGTAAATGTTTTGATTGGCACACAAGATAAATTACCAATATTAATTGCAAAAATTGATACAGGTTCACAAAAAAAAATTGCCTCCAAATCACATATTTAGGCAACTGAAAATAAAACACCTTTTGGAAGCCTCCAAAGCAAGGTTAACTTCGTACACAGGTGACCGATTACCAGTGCTTGGAAATTATGGTTACCCACTGTAAATACAATAATCAGTGTGTTTCCGAATTTTATGTAGTTGAGAGTTCTGCTACCCCGCTGTTAAGCCTCAAAACATCTATAGATTTAGATCTGTTAAGATTAACGTATTCGGTTAATAAGATTGAGTCTATTGACGCATCTGACCTTAGTAAGGACACTGTACTTAGAGAGTACAAAGAATTGTTTCATGGGATAGGGTTATTTCCTGGAACATGTTCATTGCATTTGAAGGAAAATGCTGTACCAGTTGTTTGTCCACCTAGAAAAGTACATTTTGGACTCAGAGATAAGCTTAAAAAAGAGCTAGACTCAATGGAGTCCAAAACAAATTATTTGTAAGGTTACAGAACCTACAAACTGGGTAAATTCACTAGTATGTGTTGAAAAAAACCTTCAAACCGGTAAGCTTAGAATCTGTCTTGACCCCAAAGCATTGAATGAAAATATACAAAGGCCGTATTATCCATTACGTACTATTGACGACATTACGTCAAAATTGCATGGCGCTAAATACTTCAGTGTATTAGACGCCACCAAAGGTTACTGGTCAATCAAATTAGACGACCACTCAACGTCACTAACGACATTTAACACACGGTATTTGGACGGTACAAATATTTAAGACTTCCTATGGGCATAAGAAGTTCTCAAGACATTTTCCAACGGAAAATTGACGAGACATTTTGAAGGTTTACAGGGTGTGACGTCAATAATTGACGACTTATTAGTGTTTGGAAGCACACGCACAGAACATGACAGCAACCTTAAGAACGTACTCGATCGAGCAAAGGCAGTCGGTTTACGATTTAATCCTGACAAACTGAAAATAGGTCTAACGGAGGTTAAATATTTCGGTCACGTGATCAGTGCTGATGGACTGAAACTAACCCTGAGAAAAATTAGCGCAATTATCGAAATGAAAAATCCTGCAAATCGTGCTGATCTTGAAACCCTGCTGGGTATGATTACATACTTGACAAAATTCTCACAAAATCTCTCGGAGATAGCTAGCCCGATGCGAGAGTTATTAAGCAATGACGTAGAGTTCAGATGGGATTCAGCCCAATCTGACGCTTCTGACAAGGTTAAACAAGTGATTACACAAGCACCTGTCCTCAGTTACTATGATTCATCGAAGCCTGTTAGATTACAATTGGATGCTTCGTCCAAAGGTCTTGGTGTTTGTTGTTTACAAAATGGTAAACCAATTGCATACGCTTCAAAAAAACACTGACATTGACCGAGACAGGATACGCACAAATAGAAAAAGAGATGCTGGCAATATTATTTGGATGCACTAGATTTAAGCATTATATTTACGGACGGCGCACGGTTGTCGAATCTGACTGTAAACCGATAGTATCTATAATGAGAAAACCACTTTATAGTGCCCCGCCTAGGTTACAACGGATGTTATTACAACTTCAAGATTTTGACCTCGATGTAATTCACTGTAGAGGTAAAGATATTCCGCTTGGAGATGCTCTCAGCCGGAATTACGTAACTGACACTTTTCCTAATCTGATTGACGGATTAGAAACACATGTACACACTGTACTGAAATCATTACCGATAAGTGATTTAAAATTGCAGGAAATTCAAACAGCAACGCAAAATGATGCTCAGTTACAAACGCTTATTAGTGTCATTTCTAACGGTTGGCCTGACGACAGACGAAATTGCCCTACGACTGTATCAGAATACGGGAATCATAGAGACGAATTGGCTTTTGAAGACAATATTGTGTTCAAGGGTCAAAAAATTGTAATACCAAAATCATTAAGACAGGACATGACTAACGCAGTACATGTGGGTCATTTTGGTGTAGAAAAAACGACAAGACGAGCTAGGGATATAATGTTTTGGCCATCAATGTCAAAACAAATTACAGATTATGTACTTAAGTGCCAGATTTGTTGTAAATATAGAGACTCAAATAAAAAAGAACCATTACATCCTTATGATATACCCCAAAGACCATGGCAATATTTATCATGTGATTTATTTACGTGGAATGGTCAAGATTTTATGGTTCTTGTTGACGCTTACAGTCGATATTTCGAGTTCGACCTATTGACTAGCACTTCTAGTACTTGTATTTTAAGAAAACTTAAGGTACATCTCAGCAGATTTGGTATCTGTGAGAAGTTAAAAAAACTGACAATGGGACATGCTTTACTAGCGAACAATTTCAGAATTCCCTTAAACAATGGAACATTAAACACGAAACTTCAAGTCCCACGCATGCAAGTTCAAATGGACTTAGTGAAGTATATGTTTAAAATTGCAAAACGCATTCTTCAGAAAGCTAAGGATGATAATAAAGATCCTTATTTGCCCCTTTAGAATATAGGAATACACCACTTAAATGTGGATGGTCACCCGCTCAACTTTTAATGGGCAGACGCCTCAAGTCGCTTCTCCCAACAACTAACAATCAGCTTCTGCCACAAACAGTAAATCATTGTGAAGCAAGAAAGAAAATGGAAGAATTACAATTTATTAGCAAGAATCATTACGATAAAAATGCGCACAAAATGAAACCTCTAAAAATCGGTGAATCTGTCAGAATTCGAAAAGATAAGTACTGGGAACCAGCCAAGGTTATAACCCAGCATAATGAACATTCATTTCACGTGCAGACCCCTGACGGTGCTGTTTATCGTAGAAATCGTCGTTTCCTAAACAAAGCTCCTGAATTATCTGACCTGTCAAAACAAACACAGCAACCATCTAAAGTCGATGAACACCAAGAATATATTTTAAGTGAACAAACAATTCAAAATACCCCTACAGAGTCCCTATCTCTTGCAAATGTGCAGATAAATCGAAACCATTCACAATCACTAGGTCAGGTAGAGAGGTGAAACCCGAATAAGCTTTACTGTGGAAAAGATTGGACAAAGTGATAACAATTGTTGAATTGTTGAAATAGCCATTAGTAAAACTGTAAATCAGTGACATTTAGAAAGGATTAAAAAAATTTGCTTGTATATATTAATAATACATGTATATTTCAATGTCATAATTAAAAGATCATTAATTATATTTGATATACTTAAATAATTGTTTTTTACAGATTAATTTGAAATATTACTAAATGTGCTTATTTTTTTTAAAACAAGGGGAATGTTGTATATTGTAAACATATGTTTCATCTTAATAATATCTTATACTGTAATGCGCATGTCCATTATCTTCCCGCCACTTATATACTTGGAATATTCAGTTATCATTAAACGATAGAACTAGTAACACGTGTCTGTGTTATATATTACAAGTGCACGCTCTGTGTACATATTAATAAATATACCCATAATACAACAGTATTATAATATCAAGAGTACCAAAATAAGATAGACATTGGATCCCTTATACAAATCCAATGTGTAGCTCTAAACATCTTTTTAATAACATAGGGAAAATGACGTTTTAGAAAAAATTTAAGAGACAAAGACCTACATGTATGTTAAAAATCGTTACATTCAATTGAATTTGAGTTCTAAAAACCTCTCTTAAGGTGTTTTATCCCGAAACCAAGCGCCTATGTTTAACATCACTAGATCGAAATTTAGACATCCCCATAAAACAACCTTCACACTACGTACGTGATCAAACACGAACAGCAGTACAATTCAGTACAATTGTATGTGATGCAAAATAGCTGGGTGTAAATATCACTTCTAAACTTAACTGGAACAAACGCATATTCTTGACAACTAATAAACCCGTTAACCTCGACAAGTAATACCTTTTTGTAAAGCTTTATAAACTTTATATAACCGAATGACCCAAACAAAACAGCAAAAATAAATCCTTGTCAGACGACAGCCGGAGTATGATATTCCCCATACACAGTCAAATATCAAAAATATTGAGTGGTGAATGGAGTTCAATGGTAACAGAAGGATTTGATGCCAAGTTACTAGCTGATGTTTTAGCAAGTCTATCATTGGACCGCCGAATTAACAGACACATGCATTCCTTTTCTTACAGTAAATCTATGCATGAGGTAATTTTCATAAGCGTTTTTTTTTTGTCACACACAAAAAATATAATTATGTTTTTATTAAAATTTTCTTCTTATTTACTGAGTTAAGTACAACTTAAAATTTAAAAGTATTTTTTATCAAAAAGATAACAAATTATACTTTTAAATTAGAAAAAAATATGGTTTTATACTTATAGATGAAGTATATATAATATATAGTATTGGCTTATTACTTACTAATAAGTTGAATAAAAAAAATACAAATCCGAAACTATATTAGATTCAAGAATATTTAATTTACATTTTTTTTATATCAAATACAGTGGATGGTCAGAAAATACGAAGACTTTCTATATAGAATAAAGACTAATAAAATCACATTTGAAGATTACAATACAAGCTGGTACCTGTTACATATTCTCAGAAAAGTTTATTAAACATATTATAATACTGCACGTTTGTAAGGTCGATTTTTTTTAATAATTTTGACGATTTTTTATTATTAGTTACAAAAAAGAGTTTTATCAGGATATATTTCCCTATATAAACGGTTGTTTGGAAATATAACCCGAGCCAGTAAACGATGGTTATATTGCAAGCAACCATTTATATACGGTCATATAACCTTTCAGGAATTTATAACGAATCTTAATACAGCAAACGTCTTTATTTGAGAAAAAAGTGAGATTTCTAGCAGCTGTGTACATGTATGTAAAACTTTATAAACACCACGTACTATTATCCAATGAAAAAGTAACATTACAGCAGTATTGTATAAAGTTTTATATATATGACTACTGACATTTTTAAAGTTCCAAAATATGGTTGTTTTTTACAAGTATCATACGAACAATGCTATGCCGTAGTATTATATAAGGGGTCGTTTTGCACACATTTGTACGTGTTTTAACCAAAAACAGTGGCGTCCCCTCGTCAAACCGTACAAGTGTTTGCATAAATGGCAATGAATTGCACCGTGTGCGTGTAATAAGTTTGAAGAATACATATGTAGCCTCCAGTCTCACTAGGTGTTTCCAGATAAACATTATAACATAAAACAAAATTGAATTATAAACTTATCGACAACAGCAAACGGCCTTTTTTATCCAACGCTACTGCGACGAATACTTCACCGCTGCTGCTATGGATACACCGCTTCTGCGAAAGTTATGATTTTTTTTTTTGTGGATTATAGATAGGCATTATATATTAATTACTGTCGTACGTTAATATAAGTTTTAGTAAATACTCTGTAATAGATTAACCAGTTGATAGTTCTTAAAGAAAAGATATGGAATTGTTTCATTGCTTGATATATTTGCAGCATTTGATACATTATCATGCATGCTGTTTTTACGTTACTTCATGATGTTTTGTAACACTACAGACACTACACAATCCAGACCTCTTATTTCATATCAGTTAAAATTAAGAGCGTGCGTCTACATAAAATTAAGATAGTAAAGTTGACCAAGTCCTCTGATAAAACTTTACACACTTTGTTAATCTATATGCACTCCATTCAGTTTAATCCATGAAGTTATCTTCAGTTGTAAACTGACAATACAATCATGTCATTTAATTTTGAGGAGTTCGTAAAGAAATATTACGTCCATCCTGAAACAATAGAATTTTTCAAAGCGAGGCTTGCGGATAATGTTCAACCATATTATGAAGTTGGAGTAGAAGAGGCGAGGAAACAGAGTGCTGCCGCAGCAATTAAATATGGTGGTACAGTTAACCTTGACGGAAAAGAGACGGAGTTTATCATTCCATCTCCACACTGCAAAGGCAAGGATGATTTTGTTTTTGATAAAAATTTCAGTATTTTTTATCTTACTTACGAAACAATAGACACTATACATGTTCAGTAAGCATATGATAACCTCGAATCGCTTTGAAAGATAAATAATTAGATTTTAAATAAATTTAAGTGTTTCATTAACGATGCCATACCTATAACTTAACCTTTGAATTGGACGCGCATGTCTGATATTGAAGTTTGACATTTCAGATGGTATACCTGTAACTGTGTACAAGCCGTCATCCTGTGATACATTGCCAGATCCTGGTATTCTTGTATATTATCATGGTGGTGGAAATACTGTTGGATGCCGTAAAACCCATGAAACCGTATGCAAAATTTTAGCAAGGTAAATATTTGTCAATGATTCTTGATAAATACTCTTAAGCTTACATGTAGTGTAAAGAACTAACAAAGTTATATAGAACAAAACTCTTAAACAGTCATACATGCTAATTCTCAAAATATATTATATATTTATGAAGCTGTTTCACACTAAGCCTTACAAACTATGTAACTTATACGTATTTGCTTATCTGAAAATATACTTAGGCCCTATATCTAGCTATAGACCGAAAATAATTCGGCATGCTTATTTTTAAGAGATTCACCATGTATAGTTGTGAATGTTGAGTACCGTTTGGCACCAGAACACAAATATCCTGCAAATATAGACGATTCTACATGTGCGCTACAGTGGGTGGCAGCAAACAAGACTACCATAGGTACAATAAAAATCTTTTTAAAAGTTGATAAAAAATACATATTTGTTTTCCATTTTTTTGTAGATGATAAATGTTCATGATAATGAAGGTATTACAATTATTTTTTGGCAGTGAATAGTTCTTTTAACGAGATTATGAATAATTATGTTACTATTTCATACAATTTCAGGTGGTAATGTAAATAGTAAACTTGGTGTGTCTGGGGATAGCGCTGGTGGAAAACTAGCGGCTATTGTATGTCACGAAGCTAAAGACTTGGTAGACTTTGCAGTATGTATGCTATACGATTAATCTGTTGTTATTATAAGAATGTATGTAGACAACTATACAGTTATAAACACAAAGTCTTGAATACCTTGCTTTGAATTATAGAAAAATTGCATTGTTACCGGTATTTAAAATCAAAATTTAACATCATTTAAATCACTTTCTCAATTTGACAGAAACAAATTCGAGAAGAAATATAATGTTACCATTTTGTTGGGTAGCTTTAGTGCATAACACTTATTTTGTTATTGATAATCATTTTTGTGACATATAAACTTTGACAGATTTTGATTTATCCAAGTGTCAGTATGAACTTTGAACACCCTTCAAATGAAGAGTTCCGAGATGGTCCGAGTCTGTCTCAAACGACAATTAAATGGTAAGATATGTTGTCATGGCAATATTTATTTTAGGTTTTAGTATATCCAAGTGTAAGTTATGCAGCGGTGTATCCGTCACATAAAGAATTTGAAGATGGTCCAGTACTTTCAACGCCTATAATGAAATGGTGGGTTCAATTACATGACCATTCACCCACTTCCCATATCCCCTGTTGTACTGTTTATTACTTGATAGACGCTTTGATATTAAAATTGCATATTTATTTTAACCCTAATATAAAGCACCTTCTTTTCCCATCTGTTTGTTGTTTTAAGAAAGCTCCATATTAATTAGTACATTGATTATCATTGTTAATTGAGCATGTTTATAGTATGGTGAATCTTCTTTTCTTGCATATCAGACTGGCGTTTCCGTGAGTTTTACCCATGCCGGAAATTTCATCTGGCATGGGGGGGGGGTTCCAGATGAGTCGCGTGCTGTACAATGGCACGATTAGGATGACGTCATTTTACCGTTATGAATGAAGTTGTAATTCATACGCCGTTGTAAGAAAGTAGTTATGGTTGTAATGATATTAATTTTCATTGAAAATAAAGATAAAGAATTTAAAGTATAATGGAATATGGTAGAATATGCAAGAAAAAATATCTGACATATGTTTGCGGTCCGGATCGGAATATCCGTCCCTCGGTCACCCGCCCATGGGCGGTAACTCGGCAAGCCTCGTTACCGCCCAATGGGCGGGTCACCTCGGGACGGATATTCCGATCCGAACCGCAAAATATGACAGATATTATTATTCTATCAAGATAACATTTCGCACATAACATGCTTGTTCTTTATATCAAAGACATGATAGTAATCTTTTCGATTTGTTTGATTAATTTCATAACGTCTGTGCCTGTAAATTATTAACAAAGCATTTGTGAATTTCCAATCTTGTGCAAAGACATTCTGGTGATATATCCATAATGAGACTGTTAGTTTTTAAAATAGGAGAAATTTGATTTCAGGTTCACAGACCAATATATCACAGATGAAGATAAAAACAAACCAAGAGCCTCGGTAATTCTGAACAAAGACTTTTCATACCTTCCACCGACACAGATTATTGTGGCTGATCTTGATCCTCTGAGGGACGGATGTTATGGTTTGTTTCATGAATAATATTAAGTGATTATAGAATTTCATTTTTTTTTCTCTTGAGCTTTTAATAAAATTTCCTTAAATTAAAATTTAATTAAAAGATCGGAATTGAGAGAATTGGAATTCTAGCTCTATATATGATATTAAGCTGTTATGCATAAGTTCAAAAAACAACCATGCATATGTTTCTCTGGCATTCACGTATGTTAAATCATATAAATTTCAAGAATTAAAAAACATATTTTTGCTAGATTTTTTTGTTCATTGTATTTTCATTTCGTCTCTATATTTTCATTTTATCAAGTATCTATTTTTCTTTTATGTAGAATATTATGAGAAATTAAAGCAAGCAGGTGTTAAAGTAGAGTTGAAAACAATAAAAGGTGTGCCTCATGCATTTTGGAGCCTTACAGGTAAACATAGTAACTATTTTCAGACAATGAGTTATTTAACAGTCTTATAAATAGCAAAACAATAAACAGCTTTTTAAAATTACTTCTCAGTATTAATGCCATGCATGTTATTTTTTTTTAAAGATTTTTCTTTAAAAAAAAACAACAAAAAAAAACATTGTGTATGCCTATATATCTAGAGCTGTGACACGGTCTGGGAATATTGGTCAAATTGCTCTTGAATGCAGCAAATTTAAAATCACAACTGTAATAAATGCATGTTTAGTATGTTTTAGTAAAACGACCGTTATCTGTTCATTACAGAGTCATTGCTATCTCTATAAAGACAAAGTAGCATTTATTTATTTTTAAAAAATTATTTATTTATTTATTTATTTATTTATTTATTTATTTATTTATTTATTTACAGCTGCATACAAAGAGAATTGTAGAGAAGCACATGCTGCTGCTGTGAAGTTCATCCAAGACCACTGTTATAATAACTAAAATATGCTATATAGTTTGTCCAAATGATGCTGAATATAATTATTGAGTGTCCACATTTATACTTTATAATATAAACAGAGAAATACGCTATTTATATGCGTCCTTTTCTTATTTTGGTACGGATTTATTAGAAATGTTATTTAGACAATGACCTGCTAGCATCAACTACTAACTTGCTAGTGAAATCACCAAAACCTAATTTTGATAAATGTTTTGCATAGTAATTAAATACATGTACAAGGTACTTAAATTATGGGCAGTTAGTCACCGGAACTTAAACCAACACACTTCAGTGCTCTATATCTGAATACATTCTCGGACTTAATTATTACTGTTAGGTTAAAGTATGAACAGGTGTACAAAAAAGGCAAATTTCGTTTCGTTCAACAAGAGTATGTTCTAAGCATAAATATTTAGGTTTTTGTAAAGATGATTTTGATAAAAAATGACATATATGTGATGTTTCAATAAAAACCGTAAATATTGTAAATAGTTATAGTATTGTTCATAAAAGTTATTCATGTATCATTATAATACTGCATGTTTGTAACGTCATTTTTCATTGGATAATCGTGACGTTTATATAGTTTTATATACACGGCTGCTGACGATCCATGAAGAAATCTTGCCTTTTTTCTCTAAAAATGATGTTTGCTGTATTATAAATTCGTTATAAAGATTGTTGACAGGTTATATGGCCGTATATAAACGGCTGTTTGCAATATAACCCTCGCCTAACGGCTCGGGTTATATTTACAAATAGCCGTTTATATAGGGCCATATAACCTGTCAACGATCTTTATAACTAATAATATACAGGCGGAATGGCCAAGTGGTTATAACGTTTCGTACGTGGATTCAAACCCTATCGGGGACAAGTCGTTGCATTTGGCTCATTGCTCAGTACTGGTTGGTCCCCGGATCGTGTGTCTTAGTAAACATACACTATCAATCTCAGATTTCCTTATATTTACATGTCTTAGCGTTATTTAGGTGATGATTTAAATCAAATTGGGTATCTTTTAGATAAAGAATTGACAGAAAATGTTTGTCTTCTATTTCTAACATTGGAATAAAATATCATACAGTTACTGTTTTCGTTTGAAGAGCACTCAAGAACAGACAGTTATACATGTACATATAAAAAAAGAATTACCAATTTTCTAAGTTGTAACTCGTTTTTACGACTGTCCGGATTTAGAGCCATAACGAAATGTTCATTATTACGGTGACTCGAATTTCTAGAAGCAATTTAAATCTGCATGCCTCCAGATGAGCCAACTATTTCAATCAATCAAACTTAATTGAGAAAAATATTTTAAAATTTTAAAATTTAAGATTCAAGTTATAATTTATATGTTATTTAATGGTATTATTGACTGATTTCGCAGTAATGGCTATTTTTGCATATTTCTATAAATCTCCTTTTGGTAATTAATGCGCGCGGGTTGTATAAGTGCCATTGGTAATGGGTAATGTTTAAAAACATTTCAAAAATGGTCATGAAATAAGCATGAACATAGGGGCGTGCTGCTTTAAGCGCGCACACGTTATACATTTTTTCGGGATCCCGTCTCCTGATTAAGGCTTAAGACGAGTGTATTACAGATTTGTCAGTGGTGTTTAATCACTAGCATAACATTTGGTTTATCACATTTCTATGTCAGTAAATTTATAGTACATATGTACCATCTGACATAAGTTTAAAGAAATACCCGAACAGATAAACATTTAAGTGAAATAAAGATGTCATTTGATTTAAAATCTTATATTGAAACGTACAATCCACACCGGGAAACTGTGGATTATCTCAAAGGTAAATCTGAAGCAAAATCAGATGAAAGGTATGCGGTGGAAACAACACGAGAAGCAGCAAGAAAGACAGCTCAACAATATGGAGGACATGTAAAGTTTAACGGGACAGAAAACGAACATTTTATACCACCTACGACAAACACAGGTAAACTATGATATTATTATCGTCAAGTAGTGTATGGCATGATTGTATCATAGTTTGGAGACCTTTCTGTTGAAAATGTGTCAGGGTTAAATCGTATACATATACATGCACAGTGCGTTAACTGGAGTGCGGGTATTAGTTACCCGCACTCCAGAGCATGCCCATTGATTGGCTCATTTTTGCTGGGGTTTACATATTGTGACGGCAGTGAAAGTGAAATCGACAGAAATGTCATATTTAGATGCTCGTTCATTGGTTCATTTTTGCCGGGGTTTCATATTGTAACAACAGGGAACGTGTTTTTATGTTTGACTATGATACAAAAGAGAAAGTACACCAAAACACTCGGTAATCTGATTAATACTCGGGGGGCTACGCCCCCTCGTACAAATCAGATAACCTCGTGTTTCGGTGCTCTTTCTATTACTTACATATAATACACACGTAGTGCTCATACCGACATGATACACCTAAATAAAAGATATTAACATCAACAAAATAAATACAAAATTATATGTGTGAGTAAAGCAAACTTTGTTACTACTAGTATAAAATGCTTTATTTCTTTTTGCTAGATTTTTGTTTTGTTCCGTCGAGAAATATTGTAAATATTTAACTTAGTCATCTGTATATGTACATAATTTACATTTCAACAAAGTTTTATTACACTTCGTACATATTTAACCAAGTAAGGGCGAAAGGTCTTAATATATCTAACAGGGTTGAGATAGTGTAAAGATAAATATCAAACACAATTTCATGTTTTTAGCACGTGCAAGTCTGTACCATTTTAAAGCTTTAAATTTCTAACTAATTATTCTATTACAGTATTTCTATTACATGGATAATTTAATACATGTATCAATACCAATGGAATGACATGTTAGACATAATTATACATGTATTTTAGATACGATCCCTGTTACAATTTACAAACCAGAGAGCGAAGTTTGTGACAAATCTACAGTACCTATTGTTGTTTACTTCCACGGTGGTGGTAACGTTATCAAAAGCAGAAAAACCAACGAAAATGTTTGCAAACTTCTAGCTAGGTACGTAAGTCCGTTCACAAACCTTAGGTAGTTTAAAAAATACACATATGCAGTGCACTCCTGAGTATGCAAAATGAAAACATTTTGTTTTAAATTACATGTAATAGTAAAATGCTTAAATCGGACAACCATATGGTTATTCTACGAAAGACAAATGGGATGTCAACTTCACTTGGTCTCCAAATGAGTTTTCTTTCGTTCTAATCCCTTTAAATAATATGTAATAATTACATACTTATAAAATGTATAATATGATGAAATATTAACATTAAAATGTTTAAACTAATTTTCATTAATTCACACTTTCGACTTAAAAAACAAACGATTTCAACATATTGAACTTAAAAATTCACGATTTCACCTTCACGAAGTCACGATTTTAATTAATTCACGAATTCACGGAACTGACTATACACTACGTCAACAATTCAGTCATAGACAATTCCATATATATTTTAAGATACCATGTTCTTATAAATTCTTTTTAGGGATACACCGTGTATAGTCGTCAATGTGGAATACAGACTGGCACCGGAGCACAAGTTCCCGGCTAATAATGACGATGCCAAGCGTGCTGTGGAATGGGTATCTGAGAATAAAAAGGAAGTTGGTAAGCCCTGTGACATCTGTTGAAATTCTTTGTAATGAAAGTTTGTATTTCGGGGGAGGGTGTACTTTTATACGTACAATGTGTATAACATTAAATAATAAAATATCATCGCTTTCACCCGAATTCGTCTGCTTACATTAGAATACTGCTTTTTGTGTTTTTACATTTTCCACTTAAATAATAACATCATCATTAGATTATTTAATGTTCTTACAAACACGCTGTAATGTTGTTTCTTTTAGGTGGTGAATCAGACAGCAAGATTGGAGTGGCGGGAGATAGTGCTGGTGGTCGTCTGGCAGCTGTCGTCTGCCACGATGCTTTTTCACTTATAGACTTTGCAGCAAGTTATTCTTGTCTTACCGTGTGTTAAAATTCAGTTAATGGCGATAATAATACAATAATAATAATAATAATAATAATAATAATAATAATAATAATAATAATAATAATGATAATAATAATAATAATAAACAATAATAATAATTATAATGATGATAATAATAATAATAATAATAATAATAATAATAATAAACAATAATAATAATAATGATGATGATGATATGATGATGATGGTGGTGGTGGTGGTGATGATGATGATATGATGATGATGATGATGATGATAACAACACAATTTAAGAAACATATTTCCAAATTTTTATAGCCGGAAGACTCACTTTGTTATCTTTCCATCTTAATTCGTCTTTTCTTTCTTATTTTCTGTAGGTTTTGGTTTATCCCAAAGTCGATTTCACAAAAGCCAACAAATCGACAGAAGAATTTAGATTTGGACCATTACTTCCCAAGAGAAGGTCTGATTGGTAGGTGATTTATATGGCCTGCGTTTAGGTAGCGCAGATTTATATATGTAGTTTATACTAAAATAAAGTTTCATATTTTAATTGGATGATTTTTTACAACAGTATATAAACAAGAGCACCGCTAGGCAGAGCATTATATGCCCGAAAGTGTTTTTTTTTTTAGTAAGGATGAAACATTTGTAAGACATGGGAATTAGCTGTTCATCATATAAAATTTTACAGCTGTAGGTTGATTAATACTTAATTATTAATAATGACCTTAACCTTTGACCTTGTGACCCCAAAATCAATAGGGGTCTTCTACCTTATATGGACAATCACCCTAAGAAGTTTAAATATTGTGAGCCAAACGGAACTTAAGTTATGCTCCGGAACCTGTTTTAAATTTTAAGGTAATAGTGACCTTGACCTTTGATCTTGTGACCCAAAAATCAATAGGGGTCTTCTATCCAATATTCACAATCATACTATGAAGTTTGAATATTGTGGGCCAAATGGAACTTAAGTTATGCTCTAGAAACTGTTTTCAATATTAAGGTAAAAATGACTTTGACCTTGTGAACCCAAAATCAATAGGGGTCTTCTACCCAATATGGACAATCATTTTATGAAGTTTGAATGTAGTGGGCCAAATGGACCTTACGTTATGCTCCAGAAACTGTTTTTGGTTTTAAGATATTTGTAACCTTGACCTTTGACCTAGTGACCCCAAAATCAATAGGGGTCTTTTGCCTAATATGGATTATCATCCTATGAAGTTTGAAAATTGTGGGCCAAATGGAACTTATGTTTTGCTTCGGAAACTGTTTTCAGTATTAAGGTAATAGTGACCTTGACCTTTGAACTTGTGACCCCAAAATCAATAGGGGTCTCCTACCCAATATGGACAATCATCCTATGAAGTTTGAATATTGTGGGTCAAATGGAACTTAAGTTATGCTCCGGAAACTGTTTTCAATTTTAAGGTAATAGTGACCTTGACCTTTGACCCAAAAATCAATAAGGGTCTTCTACCCAATATGGACAATAATCCTATGAAGTTTGAATATTGTGGGCCAAATGGAACTTAAGTTATGCTCCGGAAACTGTTTTCAGTATCAAGGTAATAGTGACCTTGACCTTTGACCTTGTGACCCCAAAATCAATAGGGGTCTTCTACCCAATATGGACAATCATCCTATGAAGTTTGAACATTGTGGGTCAAATGGAACTTAAGTTATGCTCCGGAAACTATTTTCAGTTTTAAGGTAATAGTGACCTTGACCTTTGACCTTTTGACCCCAAAATCAAGAGGGGTCTTTTGCCCAATATGGACAATCATCCTATGAAGTTTAAACATTGTGGGCCAAATGAAACTTAAGTTATGCTCCGGAAACTGTTTTCAGTATCAAGGTAATAGTGACCTTGACCTTTGACCTTGTGACCCCAAAATCAATAGGGGCATTCTACCCAATATTGACAATCATCCAATGAAGTTTGAACATTTTGGGTCAAATGGAACTTAAGTTATGCTCCTGAAACTGTTTTCAGTTTTAAGGTAATAATGACCTTGAATTTTGACCCTTTTGACCCCAAAATCAATAGGGGTCTTCTGCCCAATATGGACAATCATCCTATGAAGTTTGAACATTGTGGGCCAAATGGAACTTAAGTTATGCTCCAGAAACCAAATTGCTAACGGACGGACGACGTACGGACGGACAGACAGACAGACGCCAGGGGGTATAACATATTTATGCCCTTTCGGGCATATAAAAATCGCAAGCATATGTGAATAATATTAATGCTAGTAACATTTATTGCAAATGGAATGTCTTATTATATTCGTTATGTAAACTGTGTGTAAATACTTTTGATAGGTATGCAGAACAGTACATTACAGAAGAAGAGAAGAACTTACCAAGAGCTTCAGTGATACTGAATAAGGACTTCTCATACCTTCCACCAACACTGATCATTGTTGCTGAACATGATCAGTTACGTGACGGTTGCTATGGTGACATAAATTTATGTTCAAACTCATTTCAGGATGTAGCTGCTTACAAAATCAATTTTTGCATGTATTATGTATCATGCAGTGAATTACTAAAATAAAATATAGGTCACCTACCGGCAAGTTATAACCTTTAAAGTCATGAATGTTCGCCAGAAAAGGCAGATGAACCGTCGTTAGGCTTAAAATACAAACATTAATACATATATACAATAATACATACGCACGCACATCGGTTTGGTGCATATACGAACCACGTTTGACCAGATATTTTCATAACACAGATGTTAGCGATGTCCATATGCTTGCGACAGGCATATCAATAATTCGGTTTCAAAACGAGCTACATATGTATATCAAAACGATTTTATATCTTTAGATCTTATTTAATATTTATCGTTTAGTTGTCAATCATGCCATTTTCAAAATCATTTAATTTTAGAATACCATGATAAACTGAAAGCTGCCGGTGTACAAGTCCAGCTGGAGTTAATTAAAGGTGTACCACACAGTTACTGGAGTTTGCCAGGTAGATGTTATTACTTTAAAGTAATAAGGTAAATCATGAACAAAGAAACAAAGAATTAATTATATGAAAATAAATATTTTATCAAGGATATGCTAGAACATTACATTTCATCAGCAATATGACTACTTTCATACAAAATCTTAAAACAGCAAACATTACATACATTACAGGTACCTCATAAATGGTAAACCAAATTGATTTACTTATCAAAAGCATTTTAATAGGTACATGTAATTTAAAGCAGAATGTGGACAATAACTTAAAAAGTGTAGCCAATTCCTGCTACATTAAAACGTCACTTCAAACAAATGTATCTCTTCTGTTATATAAGTCGATATAGTACGTATTTATAAGCCATGGGCGAGAATGCTTTGTTAGAACGGAAATCCATGGCAAGACACAACCTGTAACTATCCTTATAAACAATATAACAGAGACTAGTGAAAACTATAAACTGATTTTGTTACCAGTACACATACATCTTGAATTTGTTATTTCAGGAGCATTTAAGGAAAACTGCCAGATTACAAACGCATTCATTACAGACTTTATCAGAAAATGTGTAACTTCTTAAATCTTTGACGAATTTTTGGTTTATAATTCACCCTCACTGTCGGAAAAAGTACCATATTGGCGAGCATTGTGACGAATTGACCTTATATACTGTCTTATATTCTAGTAGTAGCAGTAGTAGTAGCAGAAGCTATGATAAAGGGTTAAGTGAAGCGTTCCAAATAAAATGTACAATAAATGCAATGCTGCAGCTTGATGTCACGAGCCATTCGTGCAATAGTAAAATACTGTATATAGCAGATATTGAAATTATTATGTACACTGTATTTATACTTAACATCATCGATATTCAGTCTTCTTGCAAACTTTGTATGTACATTAAACGTGTGCAAATATAGATATCCCTTTTTATATGCAGATGTATTATCATTTAGGAAAAATAATCTACTGCTTGCACGCACTTGCCTAATTAGTAATTACATAGATTTAATAGTCTTTTTATACTCATTTGGCAGTTTTCAGTGCTCATCAATGATTTACACGTATCTATACAGTATCACAAATCACATAATTGGCGAGGATGATGCCATTATACAACTCTTCTATAATCCAATTTATCAACAAATTTACAATTTAATAATTAAGTGTTCTCGTCTTGAAAACTGAAAGAAAATCTAGAATTAACAACAAAAGGATAAGACAGTAGATTTTATGTCAAACTGACATCAAAGGTTTATTATTAAGTCATATTAATTAAGTACAATGTTTTATCTATGTGACAATAAAACTAGAGATAAGTGTATCTTTTTATTCTTCAATATAAATCACATTCAATAAATAAAGACGGACGGAAATTCTCACAACTACAGTAAATCTTTAACATATACAAACATACTAGTACATAAAATGTGTTTCATGTTTCATACATGTTTGATCTGATGATTACAGTTGAGGCTAGAATTACGAGTCTATTACACAAATAATGTTAGGTATAACATGTATAAAGGTAAGTTTATTCCACAAAATGTCTTGTACACAATTATGTATTGAAATCTGTGATGTATAGGGGAAATCCCATCGGTGAGATTTGTTCACAACAAACACATTATAAAATAGAAAATGCACATAGATTAGTTTCTCAATGATTAACTAAAAAATATCACATCAAGAATTGTTCTTTTATTCATCAGAAATGAAAAGAAAACTCAGGCAGGATGCATTTTGGAAAGTAAAATTGACAAAATGACTCACTTTTCTATTCAAAAGAAAATGAGATGTTGATGAAAATTTTACACAGTTAAGAGAAATAATGTGGACATCCATGCCTTTATCATGTTATTTTGTATACTTAAGACAATAATTACTATTAAATACACTTTTTCAACATGAAAATAAAGGCATGTACTACTTCACTAATTAATATTTGCCACTTCAAATATTGTTTTTAGGAATACCAAAGTTATGATGATGTCTGTTGACACAAATCTAAGCTTTTTTAAGTTTCAAACTGATGTTACACAACAACCAATGTCTCACTGACTGGCATACTGATAACTCCTGTAATAATAGGAACACTTTTGTTCTCCTTCAATACATACACCTGAAATATAAATAGCAACAGACATTGAGAACAATTTTCATGCAGCAGGAGCATCAATGCTAGTAGAAAGTTTTATTCCTGGCTATTTATATGCAGACTGAAATTGCTAATTAGCATTTCAGTCACGATTTTAACATTTTAACTAAAATCATTTTAACGAAGGTCCTGTGTAGGCAATCTTTCTTGACTTAATACTCCAGGAATTGCCTAACTATTATTAAAATTTGCCAAAAATGACTACCTCTTTTAGAGGAGTCACACACCTGCAGTTAAATTAGATCAATGAGTTTTACCTCTATATAACACAGACATTCATAATATGATAAAATCTTTACAAAACACATAGTTAAGCTATTCATACTACAATGCAACAAAAACAAAGAGAATATATAAAACTGTGTTTACCTTAACAGTGTCTGAAACACCTTTATCATTCAGGCATTCTATGTAAGTCTCAAAGGTATAATTGAGTCCTGGAACTAACATTGGAACCTGAAATATAAAATTGTTAAATATAAAATACTCAATAGATACTTGTAAGTCTGTTTTGATGTCTTTGTTCACCTGCCTATATACTGATATATAAAACAAGTAATTTATTACAGTCCATAGCATACTAATATTTACGAAATAACTGGTATGTACTTTACAATGTTAACTTGAATATGTATTAGAATACCTAGAAATGTAGAGAAAAGAAAAATCATCAAAAACATCACACTTGTTCATAAATCTTCAAAGATACTGACAGCTCTAGTTTAAGGTAACTAGTCACATGCTTATACCCTTTTACAACTGCATGTACAATATAATGACTACAATTAATCATAAATGGTATCTCATAACAATGATTTTAATACACCAGGTTTTGTAGTTATAAAAATAAATACAAGTAGATACCAACAAACCTGGGACTTGGCCATTATTGTTACTGCTGACTCAACAGAATCATTACATTACACATACTAGTATACAAACAAACGGATGTTAATACAAGTTTAATCATTGCCTAAATAGTTGTGTATCTCCTGCTATACTCATAGGTATGTATGCCTATCATCCATGGCCTAGTGGTTAAGGTTGCTTGACTTCTAATTTCAATGCCCACCGGGGACTTTGGTTTTTTTATGAGAGGAAGCTATTCACCTAGCTTACAGAATGCCAGTGGTTCTACTCAGGTACCCTTTTGTGACTGAAATAATGCAATGAGGGGCACCTGAGATCTTTCTACACCAGTAAAGCTTGACCTAACAGTGGTGGTGTGATAAAAACCCTACCATAAAAACATGTACGTATAATTATACTTACAGGTATATATGTCCTGCGGAAACTGTAAAGTTTATCATCATAGTCAAATGTAATGTGGAGATTGGTAGATGCTTGACTTAATGATGTGTTTTGAAGGTTGACTGTCAGTTTAAATGTGGGCCCTATTCCTTGAACCTGTATAACAAAATGAAGAAAAAGCATTAATTAAACTTACATAGGAAAGTATTTATAATGCAGAATTATATAGCAGTCACATAGGATTTATTTATCATCAACTCCATGATGTCAGAAGTTTTAGCTTTATTTTGGATAAATCAAATTGTCCAAACTAAGATGAGTCATATGAAAGTTGGCCACTTAAAATACCAAACACTCATCTTGACTTCAGTTTAAGTTCATTTTAAAATTTGCTTGATATTGAGAATCTAGATTTAACTGGGTTATGTCAACAAAATTTGAAAGCTTAATTTTCAGAAATAAACATTTTATGTCCTTTCCTCTTTGCTTGTTTTAAATGACATTTTCACCTTTTAATACTTTATGTTATTTATCAGTTTACATCATTTCTAAAGAAGTATGACTATGATTCAAATACATTAAAAATAAGTATATATAAAGATTAAACAATAATCCCTAACCTGTGCAGATAGTTTTAGGGGATCCATGGGATCTGTAGAGATAGGATTCATTGCATTATTCAAGGCCTTGGCGTACTCCCGCGCTGTATTCAATCTCAACAAATACAGGTCCCTCTGGAATGTCCTGTGCATTGCTGAAAATATACAAGTGCTTATTTACAATATGAAAATGAACTTGTCTACCTTTCAATCTGGACAAAACCATTTATCATCAAGTTTAGGGAAAATTTCAAAATATGTTCAGACAAAATATAAATAGTGCAAACCATGATTACATGGCATGGATGTGCCAGCTGATCTTGGTGTGCACTGGTAGCATGGCTATAATCTGTTGCCATATGCAGGATAAGAGATATTATATTTTAAGATCTTCACACGATAAATAAACAGAAATATCATTAACGCACTAGTTGCACATAAGAAAAGATGAAATTTCAAAACTATCCAAGCACATACACTTAAACTAACTTTCAAAAGAAACAAATTTAAGATAATTTATTACATTAAAAGACTTGAAGATCTCATCAGAGGATGCCACGGTTGAATGAATCTCCATGGTTCTGTGAAAAGGTAGCCCAAGTTGCTTTATTTTCGGTTCAAATTGCGCCTTTTACAAGGGCCAATATAAACATTACAAGCAATTATCATAGTATTGCAAGCAATCCATAAGTCCCCTACCGGTTACATACCATCAACATTCTGAAGGGCAATTGGCCATTCACTAATGTTTCAATTTTTCTCTATTTTAAGTAATTTTGTTGGAAAAGTTCTTTAAAAGTGATCACAGGAAACAGTTTTTATGAACAGACAGACAGACGGACTGAAGGACACTCTAAAGTTAATATTTGAAACATTATTTTAACATCCCTGTTACTAAAATATAACATTTTTAAAAGCAAAATTCTTAAAGAGGAGATAACTCTTGAAATAAAGATGCAAATTCATAAAAATGTTCAGCTCTTTTTGACTTATCACAAATATTGCTATATTTGCCATGTTTTAAGCCTATTTGTTGCCATGGCACCCATTTTTTCAAAATAGGAAGAAAAGAAAAAGACATGCATAATCTCCAGACTGCCATCTACCCATATTTCAAGTTTCATAAAAATATTTCCAGTACTTTTTGTGTTATCACTGGATCCAGTTTATGTGTAAAATTTGCCATATTTTCAGTCCATATGTTGCCATAGCAACCAGAATTTTTAACATAGGAAGATAGCATAATCTCCAGACTGCCATCTACCCATATTTCAAGATTCATAAAAATATTTCCAGTACTTTTTGCGTTATCACTGGATCCAGTTTATGTGTAAAATTTGCCATATTTTCAGTCTTTTTGTTGCCATAGCAACCAGAATTTTCAACATAGGAAGAAAAGAAAAAAGATGTGCATAATCTCCATACTGCTATCTATCCATATATTAAGTTTCAAAAAAATATTTTCAGTACTTTTTGTGTTATCGTGGGATCCAGTTTTGTGGACTGACAGACGGACAGACAGACGGACAGAGGGTAAACCTAAAGTCCCCTCCGGTAAACCGGTAGGGGACTTACAACAACCTCAAGAACATTTTCTTAAGTCAAAATACTTACTGACTGCACTTTCCCTTTCCCTCATTGTTTGGTCTACAAACAATTTGGTTTTCTTGGGCACGTTTAATTTCACATTTTGAGCAGCAGGGGGTCCCCCTGAAAGATCCCTCTCTTCAAACACAGCTGTCCTTTTCAGTATCTTGATAAGCAACCCACCATCTGAATGAATTAATGACACACATATTTATTGCAGTTAATAACTAGTCAATATTTTCATTTAAGGAAAGTGTGAGAAAAAAATTTACAAAGGTTTGACAATGCCTTTTTTGTAATGGTCTCTTGAAGTTGTACAGATGAATGGCATAACACAGTAAATGAATGAATATCTAGATAATTGTATCATATCTCACAAGTTTTATGAATATGGTAAGAAATAAATTAATTCAAGCTGATTTCTAGTCTACAGCAACCATTATACCATCATATAAACAAGCTATTCTGCACTTTGCTGGCAGTTCAGTGTTTGATTTTAATATCAAAACCCCTTTAAAAAATGGACAGTTACAAAAACTCAAAGCAATGTTTGTCCTTTATACATATTTCATACTTTAATGGTTAAGAAGAAAACAAGGTCAAGCATACAACTAAGGATTTAAGAAATATCAACTTTACTACTTGTACACATAACCAAAGCCCCATCTTTCGACCAAAAACCTTCCAAAATCTCATGGAGTTATTTTCACATCATCTTGTTTTGATGACATCAACAAGGTATTTCTCCTAGTCACATTAAAAAATGGTATAAAAAACACATGCCACATCTGCACTTTCTAATATCTAACAAAATAATATTCCCC